ATCTGGTGAAAATTTCATGTCATTAGCACCTCTAGTAATATATTTACTGAGAAAAATGGTGACGTGTTCAATACTTATTTTACCTGCTGGATGTCTCAGCTGGGCAGCATAGGGACACATTTCTGCACCGTCTGTTGTAAATGTTTACCGTCTTTTCTTGACAAATTTACAATATAGTGTTTCTCCTCGATTAACAACAGAAATACCAGATCTTTCTTCTCCAACTCCTCCATCATGAGTCAATGTCTGTGTTGATTTGGATTGTGAATGACGTGTTCTGCTGTGGAAGGACTTATCAAGATTTATTCCTCTCAGGTTCTTTTCTGTATGAATCCATGAGAAAGACTGTCTCGCGTTTTTTTGAAGTGTAGCAAACCCTTTAGGAGCTAACATCTCACTAGATCTTGCAATATTTAATGGTGCATAATATCATTCACAAGGTTTTATCAACACAGCTTCGTATTTTAAGATTTTTGTTTAACATTCTGGCACAAACGGGGGTGAGCAACATGCATTCTTTCAAGGAATGATGGGCCTTTTCTCTGTTATTGAGCTCCTGGGTGTGAAAGCACGTTTTAAATTCACAGATTTATTCTTAGACATTTGTTACAAGCTCTTAAATTGGGTTAATTAGATTAATATTTGGGTCACCAACTTTTAAATATTTACAGGAACCTCATGCTGTTGTGTATTGTTAAGCCTAGCTAGGTCTCAAATAGCATAGGGTTTACAGTGATGCTAGCAGCTCCTTCAGGTTTTGAAGTTTGGCATTTGTGCGATGAGCTAAATTCAAATATCAGTGTTGATCGTGCAATGTTGGCAATAAAAGGTAAATGAAAGTTTGTCATCTTTTTCCAGTTTCCATAATACTGCAAATATGACAAGTTTTCATTTACTTTAAAGTAGGTCAAGGGTAGGCCCTGTGATGGACTTGCGACCTGTCCAGGGTGTACCCCGCCCCTCGCACTGTGACTGCTGGATATGGGCACCAGTGACCCACGCAACCCTGAAAAGGAATAAGCGTGTACAGAAAATGGATGGATGGATGGATGGAGGTCAAGGGTAACAAAAAGAACAAAATTATTTAACTTTTAGTTACTAAAGTTGTTTGTGTGACCTCCAAAAGAATGGCAACTAATGCTTTCCATAAACATTGTTTTGTTACGTGCATCATCATGGAGGATTCTGAACTCCTACTCTTTCTTTTCACACATTTACTACTTCCTCAAAATCCTCCCACAGTACGGACTTTGTTTTGTCTTCAGTACTTTGACGTTATAGTGGACTCATAAACATTAAATGAACGAATGATATCATTCCTTTGTGATTTTACCAACTGTTCCATTTTCCTTCCTCTCAAAGTGATCTTTGTTGGATGACCACTCAGGGAGGGTTACAGCTCTTGAATTTCCTCCGTTTGTTTTAGCGGATCCATTTTAGAGGTGGGTTTGTTATCTGCGAAAGTCTTGAGCATTACATTTTTTCTGAGGTTGTCTGGAAAAATGGGGTTTTTGAAGTTCCATGTTATTATTTGCACTGCATGGAAATATTTTTTATACTGAACACAGTCAGTATGACACCTATCCCAAGCCCTCAGGCATTAATTTGAAGCCATAAAGAGTAATGGTTAAAACATTTCACTGTGAAATAGATACCTCTGACTGAAGCAGGGAAAGAAAAACATGCAGGACAGAACCAGGAGTACACATTCCTGGACTTATTATCATTTTTGAGTAGACAATGGAAACAAAGCTCACACTGAATAGAGAGTAAGCATGCAGTTTTCCTAATATCAGTCACTTTTGTCTCATTTCTGTGGACTGCTGTTTTAGTTTGGGATCCTTTATGGCAGAGGTTCTCAAACTGGGGTCCCAGGACCCCCAGTGGTCCGTGAGAGATATCTTGGGGGTCCTCAAAAAAATTCACTAAATTGTTAATTTGGTTTTTTTTTTTAAATACATGAAGAACAACAAACTAATAAAACAGACATAGTAAACTAAATAAAAATATATATTCCCATGGCATTTAGGGGCTGAAACGAAAATAAATTATCTTTTAAAACAGCATGGGGTTTATGAGGGGGTCCCTGGAATTTTTTTCATCATTGTAAGGGGTCCCCAGACCCAAAAGGTTTGAGAACCCCTGCTTTATGGGACTTGGTGGTTGGTTTTTGTGTATCTGTTTAAAATAAAGAGCTGTGCCCACTCTTGCAGCCCAACAGCTTCCTTACTGAAACTTTGCATCTGAAGTTTTGTTTTGAATTTTATTCCCATTGGTACTGATTAGAGCCAAAGCAGGTTTATAACCACAATACGTCATCTGATGTGTTACTAAATGTGGATTAAACCTAGGGCTGGGTGATATGGCCCAGAAAATAAAATCTCAGAATATTTTTTTCATCCCAAATTCAATTTTTGATTTTAATCGATTTTGTTTCCCACTTCACGGAGTGCCTCTGTTTTAGGTGTTGAAACAAATTAGTTGTACTCCTGCTTTTTGTAGCAAGAGCCTTCAAACAGATTTTGCAGTGAGGTGTTTGTTGCTCCCAGTCCGAGGTTGCAAAACCTAACCAGTTTCAGATAACTGAAGAAACAGTGCCTTTTTTGGGAAGTTGATCCTCTTTGCTAGCTGCCATAATGTCATGTTGTGTACCAAGTGTCTTGAGGGACAGGTGGGGTAACCTCTGAACTACAGAATCCTCAAAGAGTGCCCTGCTGGGAAAAAAAAATCCTGATTTTCCCCAAATTAAATCTTTATAAATGGCAAATTTGAATTAATTGATTAAATCAATTTATTGCCCAACCCTAATTAAACCCTTAACTCTGCACTCAAAAACAGATGTTAGCAGATGTTTTTAGTTTGTTGCCCCACGTGTACACTGAAAACATTTGATTTTATTTCCATTTTTAATTGACTTTCTAATTCAAGATATTGAACAGAAGTTATGCTGACAGAAATGTGATTGGTTGAAGGTTCACAGAAAACTGTTCCAAACGTCTACGAATTGGTATAATCTGAGAATTAAACAATGCTACATTTCTACCTCAATCTACTAAGTTTTTTTGTGATTGATTTAATTTGTTTGTTAATTTTCTAACAGGCATCATGATTCCTGTAATGGAATTCCGACAGTTCACTGAACAGCAGCCAGCGTTCAGAGTCCTGAAGCCTTGGTGGGACGTGTTCACGGACTACCTGTCTGTAATCATGCTCATGATTGGTGTCTTTGGATGCACCCTGCAGGTCAGTAACGATTTGTTTCCAATTGTTTTTTTTTTTTCTGAACTCCGTGTTTTTAATTGTAGCTATATTTCTTCATTAAAATGTGTCTTTTATTTTCTAATAATATTTCAACAATTAAAAAGTAAAATATCCACAATTTATCTTTAACTAAAATACAGTGAAAACTATTTCAGTTCAACAAAACACTCAGTGTTAGTTAAATGAGGCTTAAAATAGTTTTTTTAATCATTCATACATGTATACACAATAATAAAATACTTGTTTATGTACGTGTGTGTATATAAATACATTTTAATGGTTCCTAGTAGAGTTCCTCTGGTATCTTCATTGTGAGAATAAATAAACAGTCCTTTCTTTTTGTAAAATAATGATGCTTAACATAACCCTAAAATTCTCACTGCATTTTATAGTTATTAGATAAAATATGGGATAAAAATATTATTGTTGTGTGATATTAGATTCACTGACGATGATGATAAGTTTTATTGTATTATTGCAATAAGAGTTTTGCTAAACAACTGTACAGGCCTAGTTTTATTATTAGTATAAAGTTTTATTATTATTTATAAACAAACTGTATTTTTCTGTACATACGTCTACAAATCCTTTCTAAGTTCAACTGATAAGCTAACTTCATTGATAGCTCTATTATCTGTTTTGATTTGGCTGTTCATCTTACTGTGTATTTTCATATGGTTGCAGTCAAATATTTACCAACAAAACTTACAAAAAACATGTTAATGGATATTTTTTGCTATAAACTTTGGACTTAATATAAAGTTTTTTTTTCTTTAATTTCTGGCTGTCTGAAATAAGCATTTTGGCCTCAGCTTTTTTTTTTTTTACATGCCCTCCTTCACACCCTCCTCCTGTCACAGACAGGAGAGGAGACTACAGGAGCCTGCAGTGGCCAAAATAGTCTCATTCATTGCAAGTATCAAACGTAAAAAAAACCTATCACAGATTATTTAAAAAAAGCTTACTGTCAAAAGTCACAACATTTCACATCTTACAGTAAATCCTATTTTTATCATCCTATTCTGCAATTCTGTCTGTTCCACTTCCCTGAAACGATGGAGCTCTTATTTATAAAGGAAAGCAACTGCAGCTCGTAAGATGAAGTTAGTTTTTCTGATTCTTTTGTTCACTGCAGCAAGATCAAATTCATTTACAGTGAAAGCAAATTGGCTGTGAGATTGACATTTACATAGAACGTCTCTGCACTCTGCGTTGGCACAAACTCAGAAATACAAATTTGTTATTACAGCCTGGCCTGAGTGCAGCAATGAAAGCATTCAACCCATCAGGAGTTTGGCATTGGAAACATTTCCCCACCCTGCCCCTTTCAGTAAACATCAGGTTTCAAACCTCTGTGGCCTGGTTGACTTCTCCCTCTGTTTGGATACTTTTTAGTTACCATAAGGTTCCATAGTGGAAATTCTGGAAGTGACACCAAAACATGTTGAGAAGAAAGTGGATATTTATCAGGTTAGAAGCAGCCATTGTTTTTCACTCTTAGCAGAAGTGTTTGGATGTGATCTAAGAGTACGTGCACAAATTGAGTGGAAAAATAATTTTGCGGCTAGGTTTACTTTACGGGTCAGAGGAGCTGTGTCAACATGCAGCTTTGTGTAATTGCTTCTTATTTGGCCGCCTGACCAAAATTCTCTCCCCAGTTTTATTTAAAGCTGGGGAGTGAAACATAAATTGTAAAACTGTCAGGAAAAAGAAAACGTAATCTGACCTGCCTTTCCAGTATAATGTTTCACGTGCTGGCATTACAGTAACAGTGATGTCATTTTGTATCTACTGTTCAGAAATATGCTTCTGTCTGCCATATCAGTTTCAGATCGTATAGCAATGACGTGGCTTGAGTATCTGACTTTTAAAAAGCTAAACAGAGTGAACCCAATAAAAGCTTGTTACCAATGATTTAAAGTTCCCCTTTCCTGTAATTAGCCATGCTCACGAGCAGCTGCTTCTCATTATTTACCTTTCAAGTAAACAGCATCAGCAAATGCTATTTGCAGATGCTAACTTGTATGCACCATGCTCTACATGCATTGCCTTCATTTAAAAAAAGGAGTTAAACTGAGAAACTACACTAAAAAGACAACAAAGGATTAAAGTTCAGTCAATTTAAAACTGATAAATTTGAATGCACTTACTATAACCCCAATTCCAGTGAAGTTGGGACTTTATGTAAGACATAAATTAAAACAAAATGATGATTTACAAATACTTTTCAACATATTCAATGGAATACACCACAAAAACAGGATATTGAATGTTCATCCCATGATCTTCAATCCCTCAGGCAGCACCGCATTAAAAACCAACATCATCCTGTAACAGATGTTACCACATGGACTCAGGAAAACCACTGTCAGTGAACACAGATCATCTCTACATCTACAAGTAAAAGTTAAAATTCGACCAGAAATGCCACCGGCTTCTCTGTGGTCTGACAAGTCCACATTTCAAATTGTTTTTGGAAATCATAGACATCATGTTTTCTGGGCCAAAGAGGAAAAGAACTGTCTGGATTGTTATCAGTGCGTGGTTTAAAAGCCAGCCTCTCTGATGGTATGGGTATATGTGTTAAAACCCATGGCATGGGTAACGTTCACATCTGTGAAGGCACCATTAGTGCTGAAAGCTACATACAGGTTTTGAAGCAACATATGCTGCCATCCATGCCACGTATTTTTCCAGGACATCCTGCTTATTTCAGCAAGACAATGCCAAGACACATTCAGCATGTGTTACAACAGTGTGGCTTCATAAAGAGTGCGGGTACTAGACTGGCCTGTCTGCAGTCCAGAACCTTCTCCCATTGAAAATGTGTGGTGCATTATTTTGGTTTTACACAATGTCCTAACTTCATTGGAATTGGGGTTGTACAAGTAAAAAAAAAAAATCACTTAGATTTATTTTTTGTAGATTGTGCATTTTTTTACAATCTTAATTTAAACAAGAAACAAAATTCTAGCCTTTCTTGAACAAATACTTATCCTCTGCCAACATTCATAACATTTATACTATGATCATCTTTTGCTGTGAAATGAAATGTATCTGTGTTTGTTAAACTCTGAAAATAATGTGTTGTGGTTATGCACAATCTCGCGTATTAGCTCAGAATCTGTGTTGTGAATGACTCAGCTACTACCACATTATATGTATTTGTTGAATTTGCTGAGTTACAGTTATCTATTTAGTTCTTAAGAAATTTTGCAAACAAGCAAACTTTCTCATGAAAGGTTGACTCCAACAGTTAATGATAAAACCTTTAAGCAACCGAGTCAGCAAAACACTTCTGTAACTTGGCAATTTCGGCTCTCTGGGAAAGTTAGAGATGACTATCCCAAAAGAGTGGAGTGGGATGGTTGAAATTTGGACGCTTCAGTCCTAGTTCATATCAGTCTTTTGCTGTGCACACCAGAGAGACAGGGACTGCTTATCATTTATGCTTTCAAGAGGTTGAGATGGTAAATTTGTGTTTTCCCTGCTCCTGTCAAAATGCACAAGCTCAGAGTATCTTCACTTCACTTTATTCATTTCATTTGTAACACAAATTAACAAAGTACAAAAAAACATGCAATCACAATAAAATCAAATAAAATGAAAGGCAGCAGAAGAAGAATAAATCTTATAATATCTGCCCCCTTTTTTTATACCCAAAATATGTTCCAAAGAAAAGTAAAATACAACAAAAATCAAAACAACTTAAAACACTTAAAAATGAACTAAAAACAAAATTTAAGACACCAACTCAAACAACAATTAGATTGAATTCACTTATACTTCTCCATATTTCTTCAGAAAACTAGTTTTTATCATTCTCTTCAATATACAGTATACAAGGATCTGGCATTTTTAATCTCATCTTCCATGCTGTTCCACAATCTTATTCCCTGGATTAAAGTGGATCGCTCCTTCAGGCTCGTACGAAACCAGGGTTTCACAAACATTTCAAATCCTTTAAGATACAGTAATAACAGCTCTCTCTTTTTAACAAAATTTACTTGAATGCTGGAAGGTAACACAACTTTAAGAGCTCTGTACATTAACAGTAAAATATTATAATCGACCAAATCATAAAATTTCAATAATTTCAAATCATGAAACAATATATTCGATGGATGGCTGTAATTTTTTCTAGTAATAATTCTTAGTGCTCTTTTCTGTAAAATAAAAATAGGATTTGTGATTGTTTTACATGCTTTACACCAGACTTCAATACAGTAAATTAAATGTGGAACAATTATAGCGTTATTCAACATATTCAGTGCTTTGTCATTGAACAGTTCTCTTACTTTGTACAGGACTCCAACTGATTTGACTATTTTTGTTCTTAAACCATTTATATGATTTTTCCATGTCAGTTTTTCATCAATAATGACACCTAGAAACTTCACTTCACTGACTCTACAGATCTCAACATCATCAATTTTAAATGAGATATCTATAGTTCTCTTATTGTTACAGAAAATCAAATAATTTGTCTTGTCCAAGTTTAATGATAATTTATTTAGTTGAAACCAACTTTGTATTTTCACAAATTCTGTCTGTATCATCTCCAACATTTGTTCAATATCATTATGGGAACAAAAGAATGTTGTATCATCAGCAAATAGGACACACCCAAAAAGACCCGACACATTTACCAAATTGTTCATGTACAAAATAAATTAGGTCCGAGAATTGAACCCTGTCTCTCCCACCTGCTGTGTGATCACAAAGGGTCCTTGTGACTTGTCAAGAATTTGGGTCTGGAAAATGGAAGCAATGCAGGCATCTTTTGTGCCGTTGTGCTGTGCAGGTGTTGTTGACACATTTGGGCCTGAGCAAATTCTCCTATGTTTATTGCACAGTAACTGGAGTTTTGCTTTCAGGTCCAAGATGCACAGGATTAAATTTTGACTCAACCTTGGACTATCTTTTCTTTAATAAGGTCCAAGGCACCTTGCAGTTTCCTGCTGAACAGTAGCTAAAAGTAAGTTGATCAAGTGGAGGTCTGACAAAACTCCTGCACTTTAAACTATAGAACGTCCAGCCACCTGTCCCAGCCTGAAGTGCAGCCTGTGAGCAGTGCCAGTAGTGGCTAGACCTTTGAAATGCAAGGAAGGTATAGATACAGGGTTAGATTAGGCCTAGAGGCAATGTTGTATGGAGTGGGTCCAGTTGGGATTCATTTATGTAGAGCTGGGGCTGGACAGGATGGTGGTGCCAAGTGAATTTCTGTTGCCAAGCTTTGAGTGTATTTGATCCTATACCAAAGCCTTGACATCCTCCAGGCTTGCCTGTTAGTGACAGTTCATCCACTACAATGTTCAGCTGAGAATCCCTTCACAAACTGCTCTAGGAGCTGCATCACTTTCTCTCCCTCTGTTTCACCAGGGTGAACCCATTTGGTTGCTGCTTCTCTCAGAGTGTAGATAAAAAGCTGATTGGAGGGGCCCAGGCTGGCACTCTGTAGCCAGTAACTGTGATCCTCAAGGGAGTGACCTATACAGGTGCTGGTCATAAAATTAGAATATCATGAAAAAGTAGATTTATTTCAGTAATTCCATTTAAAAAGTGAAACTTGTATATTATATTCATACATTACATACAAACTCAAATATTTCAAATGTTTATTTTGTTTAATTTTGATGATTACA